GAAAGAGTTCTAATGTCAGTCTCACATGGAAGAAGAACCTTTTTTTGTGGGCTAGTAAGCCAATTAGTATGTTAGGCACACCCTTCCTTCCACCCAGGTGAAAGGTTTGAAGGAAGTATCTTTCTCTTGTTTGCTGGGTTAGCCTCGGGTAGCTCCCTTGCTCTTCTAAACTTCCTCATTTTCTTCCCAGGCCTCTGTGGCCCCTGGAAGCCTTCTTTGTGCTCTTGCACAAATGCTGTTTGTGTGATGAGCTGGTATGTCCAACTGAGGGAAATTATTTATTCTTCTTTGGCATTATCAAGAGATTCCTTCCTTAGCTCCACTCTGTTGAGCAATCCAGATGTTTTATCCTCTCCTTTATAATTCTTCAGAAGTTTCTGAATGCTTGTCCTATATTTTGCTCCCAAGTACCTGTTTTATGTTGTTTCTCTTCTTGATTATTATTATTTTTTGCTAGTGAATTGTTACTTGCCAGTGAGAGATAGAAACAGAAATGGAGGGAAGGAGGGAGGAAGGGAAGGGAAGGGGGGAGAGAGAGAGAGAGAGAGAGAGAGAGAGAGAGAGAGAGGAGATAAAGCATTCCCTAAGGGGAAGGGCCATACCATAGTCCCTTCTTGATCTCTCTCCTTTCAGGGTTTTGGGTGTACACATGTACCCAGCATGTTTCTCAAGCCTCTGGGTCCAGGACTCAAACAGCAGTCTTCATGTGGGATCCAGCTGCCTTAACCACCAGGTCACAGAGCCCTTCCGTAATATTTGCTCTTGCCCACTCCATATTGAATTGGACCCACTAAGTATAAACCTGAGTATGTTCCAAATGAAATCTTCTTAGGGTCTTTGGCTCTCCATTTTATGGGAGCTTTGCTTATGCAACTAGACCATTTATAACAATAGGTTTATATCAAAAGGTCATACATTATTCCAGAAAACCCTATGGTTACATAATGAAGCTATTAATCTTTCCCTGGGGTTAGACTTTCCATCATTTGGAAAAAATAGAACAATAGGACCATGGAGAATTGTTTCAGCATGAAGGCAGATCTATTTCTGTCGATCAGATGTTGATCTTGGGGAGAATCTTTTTCCCTTTCCCTTTAATCACCCTGGCCTCTTAGATAACCAAGTGTGGGAGTGCTGCATGCTTGGAGGAAGAGTCAAAACTTGAGGGGAGGAAAAACATTGTCCCAGTTTGCTGAACTGCTCTGTGGCAGAATTCAGGAGTCTAAGGTACCCCGTACTGTCCAGACCTTTGTTCCTTCCATTTTTATTCCCTGTCCATTTTGAAAGGGAACACATCTTAGCTAAGTGAAACTTGTTAGTTAACAATTTAATTTGAAACTAAAATTGAATTTACTCTTAAGAATTTTGTGATGTGGGCCAGCATGTGATGCTGGATCTAACTTGGCTGACTCCATGGTTTGAGTCCTGTACCCAGCAGCTTGAAAAGCACACTGGGCACATGTGCATGCATGCCCAAAATCCCAAGAGAAGAATAGAGGAGAAGGGATTGCCATGTGGCCATCCCTCTGAGAAATAGTTTCTCACCTTCCCCCTCTCTCTGTCAGTCTCTGGTACGTACACATGACTGATGATCAAAAAGTAAATAAATAAATAATAAAAAATCAGTTCATTAAAAAAATTTTAAAAGAATTTTGTGGTGCTCCTTGAGGTATTTTTATATACTCTGGAGGGATTCCCACTTGCAAATTGATGATCTGAGAATTAGATGAAGAATTATTGGCATCTACTTGCACCCGTCTTCAAAAAGTGCTACAACTTCTCTGCCTTTGTCAGTGGGAAGGATGCATTAAATGATAGATTCTACCAAGGATAAACATATCGTGTTGTGTCAGAAGCAGTTTGCTTTTCCTCAACCTGAGGAGGGATGACAAGTGCTGTTGTGAGCATCTTTGCTTTCCAGCGGGCATAGGAGGTACGAGGCTGCTGTTAATTGGAACACGCTAATCTTTACATGTTTTGAGAACGGTTAGTTATGAATGACCCAGGACTTTGCAGAAATGTCCTGTGTTACACACTGTCTTAGATGACAAATCTTGCAAGCATGTAAGTGAGTTCTTATGCTTTCGCTGTGATGCTGCTGCTTGTGAAGCTTCCATTGAGCTTGAAGAGCAGGTTCAGCCCCTTATGAAGGGTACGTTTCATTCTCTTTGCTGATAGTTCTTATTTCCTCCGTCTTGGAGGGTCATGTGATTTTGGGCCTTTGAGTTGATCCAGAGGCTAAGAGATGCAGCAAGAGGAAAATTTTATGCAGGAGAACTTTTGTGATGCCCAGCAGGGTGACCTTCAAATCAGTCCTCAGGAGCAAAATCCTCCCACACTCTGGTTCCTTTCCAGTGCTTCTCCATCTTCAAATCCCACCCACACCTTAGTCAGTAGAAACATGATCTTCCTTTCAAAAGCTGCCAGGAAGTCAGCAGTGTTACTAAGTGTTCAGTGCCTTTCTGGTTCCGTGTCATGGTGTTAATAGGACTTGGGATATCTTTGGCGCATTGGAACATCCACCAGATTTACTGGCAGGATTATCTTCACAACAGCCAAGGACATTTCTTTTTCTTCCTCTTTTTTTTTCCCTGCTGGGTGAGTGTAGCAGTCAAACAGAAGTTGGATGCTTTTTCCTCTCAGCCAGTACTGTCCCCTAGGACCAAGACCCAGACTAACCCATACTTGCATCAGTCTGTCATAAAAATGTCATGTTTATCACAATAAAATCTGTGAAGATCTTTCTGTCATCACTTTGGTTTTTTTTTTCCTTATTTGGAGTTGGGAAGGATGACAGAGTTGTCTGCTAAGCTGCCCTAGAAGGAAAGTACACTGTTTTGTGTTTGTTTGTTTGTTTGTTGTTGCCGTTTGGTTTATTTTGGTAAGAGAGATTTTTGGTATAGGGTGTGTGCACTTGCCAAAAAGGCAGAGACAAAAAGTGAGAAATCGCCCCTCAGAGGGGTGGCCATATCGTTGTAATCCCGTTTCCTCTTGGGATTTTGGGCATGCATGCATACACAAACCCACAGGCACTTGGTGAGTTTTAAGTCAACGGGTCTGGGACTTGAACCACTGTTGACTATGTGGGAGTCCAGCAACATAACCATTATACCATCTGCTGGTCCCAGGAATGTACACTTTTAATTAGAATATCTAAATTGGCTCTGCCATTTTCCAAGGAATGGCCTTGAGCAGGTCCCTTGATTTCTTACAATCTCAGTTTTCACATCTATAAAATGGGACAAATAATATATAAACTGTCTAAAGTTGTTGTAAGCACCTAATTAGAGCTTGGAAGCACTTTATAACTGTAAATAGATCGTTTTAATGTATTACTTTAAAAAACTACATACTTTTAAAGTTAAAAAATTCTTCCTGCTACTTCCCAGAGGCGTCCCAAAACATCCTGTGGCAGAATGGTGACAGGAGTAATAATGGGGACTTGTGCTGGAAATGGGAACAGATGAGAGGGAAGCCATCACACCTGCCTTCATTCATTCAGCAGAATTTTGGGGGGTTCTGTGAAGGAAGCATTTATAAAAATGTTTATTGAATTATAAACAGATAACACTTTCACATAAATTCCCAAATATGAAAGTATAAAATGGCAGCCAGCAGAGTTTCTGTCCCTCCTCCAACACCCAACCTCCAAACACATAGCTGCTATTATTGGTTTGTATAAATATTCTTAGGATTTGGGGCATGCATGCACATGCACCCAGTATGAGTTTTAAGCCACTGAGTCGGGACTTGAACTGATTCAGTCGTGTGAAAGTCCAGTGACATAAACATTACACCATCTGCTGGTCCTGCTGAGTCCAATCTTTAGCAAATATTTATTGTATACCTATTGTAAGGCAGCTACTGTGTCAGACACTAGAATTTCGATGTTCAGCAAGATATAAAGTCCTTCTATTTCTAATGTTGGTGACTAATAGAGTCAAGTGATCATATCAATGTCTGTGTTTCCTAAAATGGGAATAAACGTTCCAAAGGAAAGAGAGAAAATAGCCAGGGGGTTCCGGCTTAGACTTCATATATAGAAAGTCTTCTCTGGTTAGTTGATACTGAGATCTGATAGATGAAGAGACATCCCAGCTGAAGTTGGAGGAGATGAGAGTGATCCAGAGAAAGGAATTTGTGCAAAGACCCTGTAG